ATAATTAAGAAAAGGTCATAGTCATGTGGATGGCAGTAAACTTTCTAGCTCTCCTTCTTCTGATGATGAACAAAGCAAGGTTTCCTTGAGACTTGTATAATTATTTTGAAAGTGAGCAAAGAAAATTCATTAGTAAAATTTACACAAAAGTGTGGTTCGAAGATTTTCAGCATTTTTATCTTTCACCGTACCGCCTAAAATTATCATCTTTTGTATTTCGAAATTAACACTGGATTGACCAATCTGATCTAATATCAATTCTAATAAAATTTTACAATCGTTAACCTGGTTTTCTGTGTTGCTAAATCCTGTAAACTTATTCTTCTCCCTTGCTATTTCATCTATAATTTGATCATAATGATACAGGAAACAGGCTCCTATATCACACCGAATGAATCCAGTTTTAAAATAAACAATAATAACTAAACATGGGCTGACATACAAAGTGGTAAGAACAGTCTTGCCTATGGTATATTTAGCCTGCTCAACACTTGTATGTGTTTGATTGAAAGCAGTAACAATTTCTTTTGATTTTTTTGTAGGATCCTCCACTTCTTGTTTATTGATTATCACAATTTTAGGTTTCTCCATTCTAAAACAGAGTTTCTAAATCTAGAAAGCATAGACTATAGTGAGGTAGCAAAATATCGAGTCTAATCTTGAAAATGAGATAGTTTTACTGAACAACAATTTCAGTGAACAACAGTTTTGGCACTGGTAAGTCTACAGTCTGAACTCCCATCGTAGAGTGTTCACTAAAAGATAATTACCTTTTAGAAAAAAGAAGGTAAATAATAGAATGGACAGCCAACTTCAAGAACAGTCCCTTTGATTTCTTACAGAAATGTACGGCCTGATCACGGTGTATTTTAGAAAATACCGAGCAGTCTAACAGTCCTTTCTGTACAAAGGACCATCACTCACTCAAAAGTCAAATTCAGAACAGCGCACATCCAGAGAAGTTCAAGCCTGCAAGTACTACAAAGTCTAATTTTGATCAAAGACTCCACCTCCCGTTGTGAAGGAAAACTACAGGGTTTGTTGAAATTATAGATCCGCCTTACATATACAGATAAAAGTGTTTATTTTATTTTGATCACGAATGATCTTGATCTGGTACTGGTATGTGGTTATATTTGATTGATCACATGGTCTTTCTCTTTCGTCCCTTGTTATTTGAAGAAAAAGCTTGACAAAACTCAAAAATGACTGTGACATGATTATACGGTCCCTTTGTGCAAAAGAGGTTTTCCCTTCTAGAAACAAAGCAGAGGTTTCATATGTTCCTAGTGTTAGTAGTATTGTATTTTTCTGGATAAGTAAGCGAAGTCCATCCAGAGCTTTTGTTGAAAAATCGGCAAAAGGTTTTTCCAGTTATGACCATGTTATAGAACCTAGAAAACAGTTAGCATTATAATAAAATGTTAAAACTGAAGGTTCCGCACCTTCTAGAAGAAGGGAAAATCTCTTTAGGGACTCTATAATCAAGGCACAGTCATTTTTGAGTTTTGTCAAGCTTTTTCTTCAAATAACAAGAGACGAAAGAGAAAGACCATGTGATCAACCAAATATATCCACATACCAGTAGCAGATCAATATCATTTGTAATCAAAATAAAATAAATATTTTTATCTGTATATGTAAGGCGGATCTATAATTTCACCATACCCTGTACAAACAGCAAAACAGTTATCTGTTAGAATTTAAACCCTTGGTTCATTTTGCGTGCTTTAATGGCCAAATATGGAATTATCGATAGCTCCAGATCGAACAGAGGTGGACGAGTCGACTCTGAGTCACAAAAAAGACTCGAGTCATTCTGAATCATTTTCCAACGAACGTCAAACTTAGAAAATCGCTAAGAAGAACGTTCTTCCAAAAAGTCTTGCTAAGAATGCTGCTTTTCTTGTACTTTTCGGAGAACTGAGCGAATTTTGCTTGACTCGGAAATTATCGCTTATCCTACTATTCGGACGCAAAATAAATACTACGCGGGAAAGCATTAACCATGCACTACACGCATTAATTTCCTTATGCAGCAAAGTCTAACATAACATACTTGAATGCTAGAAGAGCAATAGCAGAAGTGGAATACTTGAACCTTTGAATACTACAATACTTGAATAGTTGAATAGTTGAATAGAAGGCTAGAGTAGTAAAACACTAGAGTCGCAGAAGATTAGAATACTATTAATAAGAAAGTAAGCACTGCTTTTAAAAAAACAATTGTACATAAAACGAATTTATTTGCACTGTTTTTAGAAGGCAGGATTTTCAAAGTTCTTTCTATTCATTTTGACACTTTGTTGGGTATCAACGTTCGAATACTGATTCTATCTTCATAGTTTTAGTTAGTTTGCACGAATTTTCACTGAACTGCTGTTTTAAATTTCATATTCCTACATGCAATCCCTTTTGGTATGCAACCGCTTTGTGCACCCACTCTCACACTGTATGTGTTCCCCTCCGCACACTGCCCACGCTCACAAACAAGACCAAACTTCGCTGTACACTCGCTTGTGTTGTCCGGAAAATCTAAGTGTTTTTTTAAAAAAAAGAGAAGGTACGCTTGGCTGTGTCGATTTTGCTCAAAGAACGTTTCACGATAGATTATCTGCTCGTAGAGGGCGAAAATTTCGCTGGCTGTCTGACGAATACTACAATACTAGAGGATGGTAAAGGAGAAAATGAACCAGTCCCACTAATATAACGGAATTCTTAAATGAGGATGACGTGTGGGCTATATAGTATTCCATTGTCCTGGTATTCTACTATTCAACTGTTATACTATTGAAGTATTCTAGTCTCTTATATCCTACAACCTCATTCATGATACAATGCATTAATGCATACGTAATCCAAGATTACCATGAGTGAAACTGTTCTTCTATACTGTTTAGCATCGGAGAGTTCTTAATGCACAGTAGAATATTAAACAAACTGAAAATTTCTGTGTAGCAGAAATTTGCCCAGCTATGACTTATCGAGGACTTCAAGCAATTTTTAAAGTTTAGCAACTAAAGTTTTGTGGTTTTGTTTACTTTCAATGAAAAAATTTTGTCTTCTTAGGTTAAAAGTTTTTGAAAAACGACTCAAATGATTTGTGAGTTAACTTTTAAATTTTGCTGTTACATCGCGTATGCTAGGCAGTTGTACACAAAATTTTATGAAGGAAAACTATGATGAAATTACACAGAGTAAGATAGGTAATTCGGATCACTTGTCTAAACTTTCTCAGCGGCTATAACTGATTCGTTTTTGATTGAACAAAAGCGGATGTTCATATGTGAATAGGTGTAACATTTACCTATCGGATGATGTAAACATAATATCAAAGTTCATTATCGTTAATTAATATTAATGAATTGCCTGTTAATGGGTGTCATTTTGGGGTAATTTGAATCACTTCAGCAAAAATGCATGGAGATGACAGAAAACAAATTAAAAAAAGTTTTTGAAGAAGATTTCATAGTACGTTATTGGGTGAACGTGTTCATCTCATCGAGATCTGCTATATATGTGAAAATTGTATAAAAATATTTCCTTTATCTGTCGTTTTAAAACAGTCTTTTTGTTTCAGGGTACTTTTTAAACATTTCAACAAGGAAAATTTATTATCAGTTTCGATTTACAGTTTTAAGATGCAATACCATCAAGTTAAAGTTAACCTTTTCAGGTCAAAAAGTCAAAAGTCAAATTATATTTAGCCCATGATCTTAAAAAACTGACAAGGTAGTGATAAAAAGTTTAACAAAAAACTTTGACCAAATCACTCCACTACACACATCATATGATTCTCTAATGCTTGAAAAATTTTTTTAAACTAACAAATTTTGTCCATAATATTCCATTCACAATAAAATTGATCAAGTTTCTTGATAGGAAGAAAATAAAAGTTTTTCAAGCGCTAATATTACTCTGATTTTTATTGAAAATAGAAAGTGCTCCAATAAAATTGATTAATATACACGCATTGTAACATAAGATTCACAAAATCTCAACTTGGCTTAAGAGATTTTAGCATAATTAAAGATAACATTAGTAGAAAATAGTTTTTAGAAGAAAATCAGTTAATTTTTTGTGCAAAAAACACACATGTATGGTGAGGATTAGTTTAAACCAGTACAAAGACTACTAACATAATATGCATATGACGAGCATGGTATTAAGCTCGCTGCTTAACAATTGCATTTAAAACATTTTGGATATTGAATAATATTTGCTGTATTATTTGAAATCATAGATATTATTAATGTCAAAATTTATTCTTGTGGAAGAAGCATATTGTAATTTTGATATCTTAAAAGTATCTAAAATATTAGAGACTGACTAAAGAAAGAAATGCACTAATATATCTGGTATATTATTCCATGCGTCATATGTCCTATTTGTATTTATTGTTTCTTGTTTATTTTTTTGATAATTTAAATAATCATTGTATAATTTTGTTCTCATTTTCGCTGGATATATTTTATATTCAATATGTTGTCCTAGTGTTTCTAAAATGATAAGTGATGTAAAGTCACTAATAAGTGAATGTTTCTTAACAAGATCTGATATAAATTTTTTATTTTTTTCTGGAAATAAACTTAGTTCAAATAGTTTTCGTTCTGCACATAAACGACGCAATAGACCAATACTGATTGATGATACTTGTGTTCGATTGATAACAAATTGTTGTGAATGTCTTAATACGATTGTTGATGTTGTCAGAACATTTGGTTTCAAAGAGACGATTAAAAATCGTCTATTATTGGACGTTAATGTTAGCGGATGACTTGGATATATATCATGAATAACTGCTCTACAACTGTAACTAAGAATTGTATTTATATATCTTGCTTGTTGAGAATCAATCCAAGTCTTGTTTGTGCTGAATTTATATTTTCTATGTTATCATGTGTAATATAACCTCCACCACTCGATTAAATAATTAATTAAGCAGATATTAACTTGTTCATGTCGTAAATTTTCATTAAATATTCAAATTGATTTCGTTGTTAATGTATTTAATATGGATGAATCATCATCATTATCATTAATTGTAGATAAACAATCACGAAATAAAAATAGTGAGTAATGTTTGGTATTATTGTTGAAGCATTTGTTAATTGAAATAAAATAGCTGCACCATCATAAGCCATTTCATTTAAATACAAAGTAAGTTCTTCTTTCCAAGGATTATTTTGTTAATTGAATTATTTCTGGTTCATCCGTCGTATTTCTAAAAATAATTAATATTAATTGAGTATTAATAAAACTATTTGATATCCAAATATTTAGAATATTATTTAATAAATTTATTTCTAAATTACGATTATTAACATCTGCATGACTTAAACTTGCGTCCCACAGATTTTGTTGTTTGACATGATAATTCAACATTTTGTTGTTGGAATGGAAGTGGTGTATAGTTAATAGCAAAATAAGCTTAATCAGGATTTTCGGGATCACGTTCGAAATCATATATTGGATTTTTAGCTATACCTGGTAGTACAGGGTGCCACATAACCTTTGCCTCCCCCCTTCTACAACCTAAAGGACAGATAATATCAGAAAGTATTTATACCAGATTAAAGTCCATCAAAAACTGGATTTATGACTGTAATTGATATTCCGTATGATGCTTATTGGCTGTAGAATTATGGAAGTTTCTATCGCGTGCGTCATAATGAATGAGCCTCTTAGTATTTTCTATTTTTCTCGTGTTCCGTTAGGATTGTAAGATTAGTGCTTTTTTAAAAGATGCGCCACGAAATACTCTACAAAGCCATACCTAAACTTTAGTTTTAGAACTTCAGTCAAGAGAACTACGTAAATTATACGAAAGGCGGAAAAACTGAAAACTTCGTATATTTGGTATTTTTTTCTACTTGAACTTTTTTTGTTCTGCTATCATTTCCATAAAAAGTGTAGCAAAAGTGAGCACTAGGTTCTTTTGTACTTTTGAATATGCTCTTTCTCGTGGTCTGTAAACAAAAAGTTTTAAAGCAGATGGTGTGCTGGAGATCGAAGTTTCAAAAATTTCTCTACGTTTTCAACAATGTGGTCAAGCAAGAAACGGAAAACGTGTTCGAAGTTTTGATTTTGCAGTTAGATAGTGAAGAGCAATCATTTCTGATCAAAACAAAACAGACCCAATCAAAAAAGCTTTTTGTTCTGACGAAGTTATGGGACTTTTACTGCAGCACCACTATAGTAGAACTGACACACGCGAT